CCCAAATTAAAAATAGCCAGGCAGGGTGGAGCATGCTTGTAATCCAAGGGCTGGGAAGGTGAAGGCAGACTGATCCCTGGGGCTCAGTGGCCATGAGTTCCAGACCAGTGAGATGCCCTCTCTCAAAAAACCAAGGTGAATGATGCCCGAAGAATGACAGCTCAGGTTTTTCTCTGCTCTCCACATGCACGTGCGCGCACACACACACACACACACACACATACCTGCACACACAGGAACACACACAAAAAGAAAATAGCTAAGCAAAAGAAAATAAAAAATATACAGACATACTATATTGGTTACTTTTCTGTTGCTGTGATAAAACACCATGACTAAGGCAACTTACAGAAGGAAGAGTTTATTTGGGTTTATGGTTCCAGAAGGATAAGATCTCATCATGGCGGAGAAGGCATGGCAACACATCTTAAATGGAGAACAGGAAGCAGAGAAGGCAAACTGGAAGTGGGGCAAGGGTATGAACTCTCACGCCCAGTGATGTGCTTCCTGTAGGAAGGCCACACCTCCTAAATCTCCCACATAGCACCACCAACTGGGATTCAAGTATTTGGGCCTATGGGGGGGCACTCTCATTCAAACCACCATATATAGTCATACAATCCTAGCACCCACATAAATTGCAGTAGGATGGAGTTACATTTATGTATAAATAGACACCAATAATGGGTTACGTTATGTATATGTATACATGCACTGTACACTGTATGTGGTGAATATGCATGATCTGCATCTGATTAATATATTGTTTCATCTTTCTATCTCAATTAATATTCACCAATTTTCCACCATTAAAATGATTCACCATTAAAATGATACCTCATTGTAATGTGTCTGTCTACATCTCTATTCCCTTGAAAGAAATTCCTTAGCAGTGAGATTCCTGACTATATAATATATTCACTTTTTGATAGCTTTTGATAGGTATTATAAAATTATTCCCTAGAGAGCTTATGTCAAGTAATTTCATCAGCAATACACATCTCCCCACACTTTGCCCTGTTCTCATTTTGCATTTATTTACTAGAATTCTAAACTGTTTAGTTGCATTGACCATTAGTATTTTTCCTTACATAAACTGCTAATTCTTATCCTTTATTACGTTTCCTCTTGGGACATTTTTATTAATTCATGAAAATTTATGTTATAAATTTCATCATTTCAGCATTAACAACTACTTTTTTTCTTACAAAGAAAAAGACAGCCAAGCATGGTTGATTATTCCTATAATCCCAGCACTTGTGAGGCTGAGGCAGGAGGAGGATCACTGTGAGTTAAAGACCAACCTGGGCTACATAGCTTGTCATTTCTCTTCAGTGGGTTTTGTTAAGCAGATATTTTTAATTACTGGAATAGTCAATGTTCAAAGTAGCTATTGTGAAGAATGGTAACAGTCTTATGTAGTTATGATTTAAGATTCGTGGCACACAGACATTGGCAAGACATATCCGGAAGCAAATAGGGAGACCAGAACTCCACGTGAACAGCTCATCTGGTATTAGAGCACATGTGTGTGGGCTGGGTTCTACATGCACAGTGAGCACATTTGGTAGTCTGGTTGCAGACCACATACCAACTCTATCTAGATAATAGTTGCAGACTACATATCAACCCTATCTAGACAATCTGAAAGTAAAACCAGCCCTTTCTCAAAGGAAATCTAATCAGAACCTCAGTCCCTTCCTCTTCAAACAACACACAGAAATGCCAGGTAAAAGGAACAAACTAAACAAAAGCCAACTATCAAAAGATTAAAAACACACTTGCACAGCAGAGGAACAGTTTCCAGAGAGCATTTCCATGTGTTACTAACTAGCTCCTTTTGCTTAAACAGCATCTGCTCCCCAAAATGACCTTAAGAAGAACGTTAGCCATCTTGCTGAAAAGTGCAACTTTGAGTCAAGGAAGAGGCAAATATCAGTCTCTCAGAGTCACACATCTATCTCCCTCTCTCCCAGAAGGCTCTCAAACATACCAGATGACCCAGAAACACACACACACACACACACACACGCACACACACAATTTCACACATATATTCAGACACAAAGTGAGTAGGATTCACTCAGCGTGAGTTTCATTTATCAGTTTAATCAGAAGTCTGACAAAGGAATAAGGCAGTTGTGAGCATTAGCAAGTAAAAGCATGCTGCTAACAGAATGAACCACGTGGATAGAACAAGAGGCAACTTGTGTTATGGTTCTCCAGAGGAACACAATCAATGGGGGCAGGGACTTATTAGACGGGCTTAGATAATCAGAGGCTATGACATAGTTCCCACAGTCTGTGGGTTGGACAGCTGAGGAAGCCAACAGCTGATCAGTCCTGAAAGCCTCCCGGAGAACTTCGGGTGCCAGTCACCGCTGAAGGACTGACTAACCTGGAATCTGATGCCCAGGAGCAATGGCAGCAGAGAGAAACATACCAGCAAGGAGGGTGGTGCCTGCGGGGTGATTGGTTTTAATTAGCAACTGGACACACTCTAGAATCACCTGGGAAGAGACTCAAAATCACGTGGGCATGTCTGTAGGAGACTGTCTTGATTATGTTGGTTGAAGTGGGCAGACCCAGCCTGAATATGGGCAGCAGTAACCCTTAAGCAGGGGATTCTGAGCTGTATGAGAATGAAGAAATGAGCTGATCATGCAAACATTCACTCTCTCTGCTCTTGACTTAGGGTGTGACCAGCTGCTTCAAGTTCCTGCCACTTTGACTTTCTTTTTTTTTTAACAGGGTCTCCCTAGTCCCGCCCTGCCTGGAAGTCTCTACATGGACCAGGCTGGCCTCATCTCACAGAGATCCACCTACCTCTGCCTCCAGAGGGCTGGTATTAAAGGGGTGCATCACCACGCCCATGCCCACCTTCACTTTCCTGTAATTCTGGGCTGCAACCTGGAATTGTGAGCTAAAGTAAACCTTTTCTCCCCTAAGCTGCTTTTGTCAGGTATCTTATCACAGAAGCAGAAAGGCACCACCTGTGTAGGAGCTCCCGGCTTCTTTTTCATTCCACTTAGATCCCCAGCTTACTGCCACCTTCAAGATGAGTGTTTTCCGCTTGGTCCTCTGACCCACATCAACCTCTGGAAATACCCTCATAGACACATCCAGATGTGCACCAATATTCTAGGTACCCCTCAGTCCATTCATGTTGACAATAAAGATTAATCACCACACAACTGATACTGAGAGTAAACAGGAGGGACCTGAGGAGGTAAAGGCCAGACACAGCAGAATGGACATGACAAAAGACCAGTTTTTTCCCACAAGTCTCTCCTGCCATGATTTCCAGCAGTACTTCCAATCCATTTGTTCCATTTTCTTTAAAGACAGTGGCTATTCACCTTAATGTTTTAAATGCTCTTTATTCATTTCCTTTATAATCCTAGTATTCTCAATTTCAGAATAATTTTTTAAATTATGTGTATGTGTGTTGTTTGTGTGAGGGCGTGTGCTTGTGTGTGAAGATGCCTGTGGGGGCCAGAACAAGGCATCAGATTCCCTAGAGCTAGAGTTACAGGTGGTTGTGAGTACCCCAATATGGGCCCTCTACAAGAGCAGTACGTGCTCTTACCAGCCACTCAATCAATTTTTAATCATCATGTCTATTTACTGCATCTAACAAATTTTATTTTAGAGACTCAACTTCACATTTTTTTGGCATCCACTTTAGTGCTCAGTCTATGCTTATTTAAATTTACTCTGTGTGCGTGCATGTGTGTATATGCATTGGGCTTGTGTCACGGCATGCATGTAGGGTCAGAGAAAAACTTGGGGGAGTCAGTTCTCTTTCCACCATGTGAGTTTCTGGGATTGCATTCATGTCATACAGGCTTCACGGTAAGCACCTTAAGTTGCTGAACCATCATCAGCATCCCCCCCATAACAGACAGACAGACACAGACAGACAGACAGACACACACACACACACACACACACACACACACACACACACACATGTTTATTTGAAAGAAGCAATGCTTTCCTGCACCAATCAATGTTTAATGACAGTGTAACAGGGTAGGAAGAAGGAAGATGGGAGGAGACAGAAAATCAGGGCCGTGGACTTTTTCAGCCTTAACAAGATTGCCAGACACACAGTAAATAGAAGCCAATTCAGTGAGTTACCATTCAGTGGCCACATCTAAGGGTCACGCTGGCCAAAATGGAAAACTGCCAGGTACTGCTTGTGCTGAGCAGAACTCTAAAGTCCAGTACTCTGTTTGCTCTCATCAGAGACATTTTCTTGGGACAGCTGATTTTCTAGTGTCCTTGAGACTGTGGAAATTCCAGACCCTCACCGCTACTCACTACTTCACTCTGAGGATTCTTTAGGCTAGAGACAGGAGATTGCCACCCACTAGCTCCTGCAAACATGTTGTCCAAGCTCCAAACCTCCCTACTCTAGCTTCAGTGCTTTTTATCCCTGATATACCTTGAAGAAAGAGTGAAAATAAAAGTCCTCTGGGGCTGGGGATGTAGTTCAGTGGGTAGAGAGCTTGCCTAGCTTGCAACAAGCCCTGGGTTCAGTCTCCAGCACTGCACAAACCGGGAGGGGTAGCAGAAACACATAGAAAGTTTGAAGCTAACCTGAAATACATGAGACCCCCCCACACACACACAAAGAGCAACCTGTGTGGGATTGAGAACCACACAGAAATCTTCAGGCTGAGTGAAGTGTTCCTCAGTCCCTTCCTCATCAGATTTGATAGTAAGGACAGAAACCACCAGTAGCCCAAGGCTAAAAGGAAACCAAACATTTCTCCAGCAAGACAAGGCTGTGAGAAGGCTTATCTGCCAAATTAGAGACTGTCACACTTAAATACTAACCTGAAGGACTTCCACCTCAAACCCAATGGAACAGAGCCTCACTGTGATTAATGCACCACATCTCTCCTAATATGGCCAACTAATCCCAGTCACCAAAAAGCAGCCCAGGACCTAGCCCCAGGTCACAGTCCTAGTCAGCAGAGACTAGCACCTACCTGAGACAAAGGAACAGGTGGCCAGGATACTGCTGAGCAAAGCCATTTCTGATGGCTCCACAGTCACTGGCTCCATGCTGGGGCTGAGAGGCAACCTCATGTGACATCCGAGGAGACCTGGAGACACTTCTGCTGAATCAGTGTGGCCTCTGTCCCTCTTCTCCTGTTTGGAGACATAAAGTGAATGGTGAGGCACAGCCTGCTTTCCTGATGTGTTCTCAGCAGCCTCTGCTTGGGACCAAACACCCAGACTCCCAAATACCAGCCACCTTCCCCAGCTAGGAAGCCACAAAGATCTGGGGTGTTGTCCTTTGTTCAAGTGAGGTGTCTGGCTTTCAAGAGGCAGCTACAGTTCATGTTTCCCCCAGCTTTTTTTTTTCCTTTTTTTTCCCTCTCCATCTCCTCCTAACTCCCTACTTTAGCACTCCCTCAGGCCTTTCCTGGAACTCCTTATTGCACTGTCCCTGGTTCATTTTTGAAGAACAGTCCATTGGAATCAAATGATCACCTCAATTAGTGCTCTGATCCTGTTCTGATCTCCCAGGAGCCTGCACTGATGACACGTCTGGACTTTGATCGGGTGCCTCATCCCTCCAATCAAAATATGCCACCCTTGGTAATAGGTCAGAGACACCCATCCCAGAGCTGCCAATATATATCCAGTTCTAAAACACCCAAGAGAGCTCAGGAGCTCAGCCAGCTCCCTGAGCCGAGCTCCATGATTCCCTCATGAAAGTGATATGCTGGATGGACACATACTAACACATACCACACACACACACACATACACATATACATACACATGATATATACATATAAATATATTCATACATACAAAAACATGCAAATACACACACCACACACATGAATAGACATGTACATATACACACATATACACAGTACACTATATACAAAAACATGCAAATACACACACCACACACATATGAATGCACATGTACATATACACACAAATACAGTATACATATATACATTATATACATAGACACATGTTCATACATGCACATAAACATATGCTCACACATAAACACATAAAAACACATGCATATACACATATGAATGCACACTTATGCACACATGATACATGCACATGTACAGACATGCACAATAGACACATACATATATACATGCACACACATAGACACATACAAGTATCACATGCATACACATGCAACACACCATATACACCCCCATGCGTACATAAATATACATGTTAATACAAATACACACAGCATATCACATACCTATACACAGCCCACATATATACACATAGGCATACACACATATACACACTGATGGTCAGGCTTGGCAGCAAGTGCTTTTACCCACTGAATCATCTTGTCAACCCAGAGGTACCCAGTCTTAACCAAAGGCCTGGATGATGTGAACTGGCCTCGTGGAAATCCAGGTGAAGCCAAATGGTCCAGGCAAGGGAATGGGAAATAAAAATAAAATCCTTTATACAATCTGAGGCCAGCAAATTAAAAAAAAAAAAAAGACCAACTCAGGAGTAAGACAGAAACAACCACAAGGCTCTTGGAGCAGCCAGAGCCCCCCAGAGAGACAGGATGATGAAGCGGGGAGCTGTGGGGCTCTGAGAGGAGGCTGGCTGCTGTGGAGGCCCCAGCTTCTGAGACACAGCAGGCCACTCCTTCAATAGCTATTTGCAGCTCTAAGAGGTGACCACTGGAGGATACAGCTGAAAGGTGAAAGGCCAGGTCACCAGTGGGTGTCCAGTGCTTATCATCCTGGGCTCAGCAAATGTGATAACCCTGGAACCCAGGAAGAGAAGGAAGCTGCTAGAATCTGAATGTGTAGTGAGAGAAGGTACGAGGCATTCAGACCCATCCCCTCCCACCTGTCCCCACACAACTTCACAGTGCATGCCTCATCCTTCATTTCTTAGAACCTGCAACAGTCATTTTGCTGAGAGCTTGTTCCTACTTAATCTCACACACACCAACAAGGGAATCTTTCTTCAGTACGAATATGACCACATCACTCCCAAGCCCAGCCCTTTAACCAGTCTCCATTTACTTTCTAAGCATAAGGCAGGCCCTTCCGCAATCCAGACTCTAATTTCAGAGTCTAACATGTGTCTTGCCCAGCTCACACACATAGACACAGACATGAGCTTAGTGCTCAGGACTGCCAGATTGTTTTCAATTCCTCAAGTGCAGCAAGCTCTGTCATCGTTCCATGTGTTTGACTGTGGTCTTCATTTGGTCTAAACACCTCTTTCCTCCCCTCATCTGTCTGGCAAATGTTTCCATTAAGAGGGAATACAAAAGTTCTATGACAGTTTCAAAATCCCATTGGCTTTTTCCTGACAGAAACAGAAATTTTTCACACTAAAATCCATTATAGAAACTAATTAAAAAAAAAAAAAACCCTTGAGAATCTTCTTAGAAAAATTAAAAGAAACAAAAATAAAGTTGGAGAACTCTTTCTGACTTTAAAACTTACTAACAGGCTGGAGATATAGGTCAGTGATAGAGCATTTGCCTACCACATATGAAGCCCTACGTTCAATTCCCAATACTGGAGTTAAAAAGACTCACTACAGAGCTACAGAGGTTGGAGAGATGGCTCAGCAGTTAAGAACACTGACTGCTCTTGCAGAGGACCCAGGTTCAGTTCCCAACACCCACATGATGGTAAACAATCATCTGTAACTCCAGTTCCGGGGATCCGATGCCCTCTTCTGACCTCTGTGGGCATTTGCACAAACACAGGTGCATTTACATACATGCAGGCAATACATTCATACACATAATTTTTTTTTTTAAAAAAAAGACTTATTACAAAGCTACAGTATCCAAAACAATGTGGAATTGATCTCAAACAGACCATGGAACAGAGCTCCAAAAATAAGCCTAGTGGCACATGCCAGCACTTGGGAGGCAGAGGCAGGCAGATCTCTGTGAGTTCAAGGCCAGCCTGGTCTATATAGTGAGTTCCAGGACAGCTGGGGCTACAGGGAGACCCTGTCTCAAAAAGACCGAAAAATAAAAGCATATATATATACACACACACACGTGTGTGTGTGTGTGTTCAAATAACTGTCAAGCTCATTTAGTGGGGAAAGGACCATATTTTTAGTGAACAGTGTTAGGAA